AGTGAACAGAGCCTAAGGGACCTATAGGGCACCATCAAGTGGATCATCATATACATTAAGGGAGTCCCAGAAAGAGAAGAAGAAGAGAAAGAGGCAAAAGAATATTTAAAGAAAAAAGTCCACCAAATCCCCAAATTTAATGAGAGATGTGAGTCTATAAATCCAAGAAGTTCAACAAATTCTTAAATAGGATAAACTCAAAGAGACCCCCACACCAAGACATTATAAGCAAACTGTCACATATAAGTGATCCTTGATAGGAATAATAGCCAATTTCTCACTAGAAACCATGGAGGCCAAAAGGCATGAGATGACATATTTAAAGTGCTGGAAGAAAAAACTTGTCAAACAAGAATTGTATATATGGCAAAACAGTCCTTCAAAAATGGGGGAGAAATTAAGACATTTCCAGATGAGTGAGGTCATTACCATTAGACCTTCCATATAAGAAATGCTAAAATAGTCCTTCAGGTTGAAATGAAACTCAAAGCTGTATGAAGAAATAAAGATTTTCAGTAGAGATAAATGGATGGGCAAATATAAAAGCCAGTGTTATTGTAGTTTTAGTTTACAACTACACTTCTTATTTTTTACAGAATTTGAAAGATTAAATGAATGAAAAATAATTACAAATCTATGTTATTGAGCATACGGTGCATAAAGATGTAATTTGTGACAACAAAAACATATAGGGAGGAACAATGGAGCTGTTTAGCAACCACGTTTTTGTGTGCTATTGAAATTAAGTTGGTATCAATTCAAGCTAGATTGTAATAAATTTATGCATAAATGTCATTCTCATGATAATGACAAAGAAAATATCTAAAACACGTATACAAGAGGAAATGAGAAAGGAATCAAAACAATTCATTCCAAAAAATATCAATTAAACACGAAAGTAGTAATGAAAAAAATGGTCATAAAAAGGTATAGGACATATAGAAAACAGCAAAATGGCAGAATTTCTTCCTTATCAGTAATTACCTTAAGTGTAAATTGATTAAACTCTCTATTCAAAAGGCAGATTGGCAGAATGGATTAAGACAAACATGATCCAATTATATGCTGTCTACAAGAGATTCACTTTAGATCCAAAGACACAAATAGAGTAAAATGGAAGGATAGAAAAAGTTATTCCATGCAAATAGTAACCAAAAGAGAGCTGGGATGGCTATACTAATATTGGACAAAATAGACTTCAAGTCAGAAACTATTAGAAGAGACAAAAAAAGACATTATGTATTGATAAAAGAGTCAGTTTATCTCTATATGTGTACCAATCTATGAAGCCCCAAAATGTATGATGCAAACATTGACCAAATGAAGGAAAAAATAGACCATTCTACAACAATAGATGAACACTACAGTATCACTCTCAATAATGAATAGAACATCTAGATAGAAGATCAATAAGGAACAGAAGTCTTGACCCACACAATAAACCAACTAATCCTAATAGATATATATAGAATATTCTACCCAACAACAAGAAATATACATTCTTCTCAAGTAAACATGGAACATTCTCCAGGATAGAACATATGTTAAGCCACATAACATATCTAAATAAATTTTTTAAAAATTAAAATCATGCAAAGTATCTTTTCCAGCCACACTGGAATGAAGCTAGAAATCAATAACAGAAAGAAACTTGGGAAGTTTACAAATATGTGGAAATTAAACAAGACACTCTAAACAACAAATGAATCAAAGAAGAAATCATAAGGGAAATTAGAAAACAGATGAATGAGAAAAAACAAAAACAAAAACCACAACATACCAAAACTTATAAGATGCAGCAAAGGCAGTGCTCAAAGGGAAATTATACAGCTGTGAATACCTATATTAAAAAAGAAGAAAGATGTCCAGTCAATAACCTAACTTAACAGTGAGGATCTAGAAAAGGAAGGGAAAAACTAAACCCAAAGCCAGCAGAAGGAAATTTGGAATGGAAATAAACAAAATAGAGAATAGAAAAACAATAGAATCAATGAAACAAAAAGTTAGTTCTTTGAAAAGGTCAGCAAAGTTGACAAACATTTAGCTAGACTAAGCAAGAAAAAAAGCAAGAAGACGAAAATAACTAAAAGCAGAAATGAAAGTGAGGACATTACTACTGACCTTACAGAATAAAAAGGATTATAAGAGAATATTATGAATATTTGTATGCCAACAAATTAAGTAACCTAGATGAAATGGACAAATTTCTAGAAACACGTATGTTACATAACCTGACTCAAAAAGAAATAGAAAATTTCAACAGACCTGTAACAAATTAAGAGATTGGACCAGTAATCAAAAACCTCCAAACAAAACAGATACATGGATAAAGAAGATATGGTGTATATACACAATGGAATATTACTTAGCCATAAAAAGAATTTGCAGCAACATGGATGGACCTAGAGATAATCATATTAAGTGAAGTAAGTCAGACAGAGAAAGACAAATATCATATGATATCACTTATATGTGGAATCTAAAAAAATGATACCCTTGACAGAGTTGTCAAGTCCACTCAATGGGAAAAGAAAAGCTTCTTTAACAAATGGTGCTGGATTTCCACATGTAAAAGAATGAAGTTGGATCCCCTACCTCAAACCATATACAAAAATTAACTCCAAGTAGACCCACAACCTGAAATAAGAGCTAAAACCATAAAACTGTTAGAAGAAAACAGGGATAAATCTTCATGACCCTTTATTTAGCTCCATATTCTTAGATATAATACTAAAGGCATGTGGAACAACAAGAAGAAATAGATAAATTGAACTTCATCAAAATTAAACACTTTTGTCTATCAAAGGACATTATCAAAATGAAAGACAACATGGGAGAATATTTGCAATCATTTATCTGGTAAGGGTTTAATATCCAGAATATATACAGAACTCCTTACTTAACAACCAAAGACAAACATTCCAAGTAAAAAGTGAACAAAGGGCTTGAATATACATTTCTTCAAAGAAGATAAACACATGTCCAACAAACACATGAAAAGATGCTCAACATCGTTAGTCGTAAGGGAAATGCAAATCAAAACCACAAGGAGGTCAGGTACTACTTCACACCTACTAGAATGATAATAATTTCAAAAATAGAAAATAAGTGTTGGTGAGGATGTGGAGAAATTGAAACCCTCGTATATTGCTGGTGGAAATATAAAATGGTGCAGCTGCTGTGAAGAATGATTTGGTGGTTCCTCAAAAAGCTAAACACAGAATTGCCATATGATCCAGCAATTCCACTACAGAAGAATTGAAAACAGAGTCAGACGTATACTTGTACACCAGTGATCATTGCAGCATTATTCTTAGTAGCCAAAATGTAGAAACAATTCAAGTGTCCATCAACAGATGGATAAACAAAATGTGGTATATATTTACAGTGGACTATTACTCAGCCATAAAAAGGAATGAAGTTCTGCTACATGCTACAGCATGGATTAACTTTGAAAATATTATGCTAAGTGAAATAAGTGGAACACAAAAGGATAAATACTGTTTGATTCTACTTATATAAAATATCTAGAATAAGCAAATTCATAGAAAGATTAGAGGTTACTAGGGACTGAGGGGAGAAGAGAATAAGGAGTTATTACTTAATTGTTACAGAGTCTGTCTTTGGGATAATGGATATGTTTTGGAAGTAGTGGTGATGGTTGCAAAATATTATGAATGTACTTAATACAACTGAATTGTACACTTAAAATGGCAAAATTTATCGTGTATGTGTGTGTATATATGTGTGTGTGTATACATATACACACGTTATCACAATTTAGAAACTTAAAAGTTTGTTTCTTCCTTTAACAACACTATCATGATAGAGACACACAGGGCATCCAAATTTCCTCCTAAGAGTAGAGTTTACTGATCACATTAAATCTTTGTATACTGACAGTTAGATTACTGACTCCCCTTCTCATTTTAACTAACTTCTCACCAGGCTTTATCAATCTCCGGTTTGAACCTATTCTAAGAATGTGGATTTAGATTCTAAATGTTATAAAATCTTGAGTTTCCATGACTTGAAGTAGCAGGGCACAGTGTAGGCTGAATCTAGAAACTGCCTTTTTATTTACTTTCTGTAATAAAATTATACAAATTTTAATTTTAAACCCATGAGTAAGATTTTGCAAGATTATTTCAAGGAATAGTTAACTGGGGATAATTCCTATTTAGAACAATAAACAGGTTAGAACAGAATTAAAGACTTATGACCACTGGTTCCGTGTTTTTCTAAGCATGTAAATTACCTTGCCGTTCTGTTTCTAGTTTCTTCTCTTGCATTTGGTTTTTTTTCCTAAGGAAAGTTTAATCCTAATGATGGTTAAATATACTTTTGAATTTTGTACATTTACTCAGATGTTTTCAGTAAGTTTAAATTATGCTCTGAAAAGATAATAATATCATTTCCATTTATTATAAGATGCTTTCTACATTATCCAGATATTATTAAAAGTAAGCAATCTAAATAATTTTATTGGAAACCCAACATCATTCACTGAGAATGTTTCTTACAACATCATTCACTGAGAATGTTTCTTATGTTGGGAACAAGATAAGTGTGATCTTAAAAGAGCACTATTTTTAACATTCAACTAGATTTACTAACTGGTGCAGTTAGAAAAGCGAGGTATCTATATTCTTATTTGTGTGTGCATAAAAATGTCTCTTGAAGGATATACAAACTAATAGCTTTGACTATCTTTTTAGTGGGGGAGAGACTGGGTGGATGTGGGTCAGGAGTGGGAAGGAAACTCTTCATTGTATATTTTCTTATACTCTTTGATGTTTGTGCCAAATTAATGTTTCTTATTAAAATTAAACAATTTGTATAAGTGTATCATATTTGTTAAGTCTTAATTAGACTATTTCATCTTTGTTTTTATTTCCAAGTACCGTGCCCATGAACAGTTTTGACGGTTGTACAACATTGTCTTTAATTACAAAATTCAGTGCAAATTCACATAATAGCATGATTTTTTTTTTTTTCAGGTTAGTGTCCCAAAAATGAAACATAAGCCAACCAGGCAACAGAAGAAAGTGGCAAAAGGCTATTCCTCCCCAGAACCTGATATCCAGGACTCATCTGGAAGTGAAGGTAAAAATATTTATTGTAGACTATTGCCTATAAGAGTCTAAATTTTTAAAAGTATATTACTATACTATGTTTGATATAAGAAAATAGTTTTTCATATTAACTCAAGCAGATTTTTAAGTTTTGGTGGGGGCAGGGATGATGTACAAGAAAAGCTATTTTAGATTATAAATTTCAAAACCAGGCCACAGGGTAAAGGCATGGGAAATGAAAAAAGGGGAAACATGCAAATCAAGAACCACACTGCAGTGCTAGCTCTTATGCCTTGTTAGCTTCTGAAAAATTGTTGATGGTTTCCTAGATTCAACGCAGGCACCATTTCTTGAGTTTTGGTCTCAGTTCCATGCTTCAGAAAAGTTTTTTATTTTCATAATAAATTATTGTGGTGTTTAGAAGTCACAGAAGTAAAAATATAGCTATATCAAATTATGAACTAAATTTACTAGTGTGCCATTCTTGTTTAAGTCAGATAATGTATAAACTATCTTGAATTACACTGAGATATAATCAAAGATTAAGGTAATGTCTGAGACATTATGAGAAAATAAAGTTTTCTTAAAACCATAGTCTCTACTAAGTTCACACTAAGCTGGGGAACTCAGTTTTACAGAGATAATACTAGAGGTGAATAAATGGTAAATGCTAAGAAACTAGTAGATGACAAATAGTAAAGAGTTTAAAGGAAAGGGGGCTGAATTCAGCTTGAGGGAAGGTCCTTAGAGGAAAGGAACCCTGATGAATCATGAGGATTTTTAATGGTTTATAGCAATCTAGGCTTGAAGGATGCTGGTGAGTGGAAAAGATACTGGAATAAAAGAGGAATAAAATGAATAAAGTTCTAAAAGTAGGAGTCACATGGTACTGTTGTGCTCAAAAGGAGTATTAGTTATACTGTTGTTCCCATTTCACAGAAGAGGAAAGTGAGACATGGGTTAACCTGCCCAAGGTCGTATACCCCATAAGGCAGTATATATATATATATATATATATATATATATATATATATATATAGAGAGAGAGAGAGAGAGAGAGAGAGAGAGAGAGAGAGCTTAATTCATTCTCTTATCCACTACACTATATTACCTATAATGTATCAGCTGACATTTACTGAGTATTTAATGTGGGCCAAACTGGAGGTTAAACATACCTTCCTACAACCATGTGAAGTTTGAGTATTATTATTATCCCTAGTTTACAGATGAGAAAGCTGAGATCTGGAGAGAGGTTAAGCTCTGAACAAAAATGGAAAGGAAGGAATGGATATGAGAAGGATTTTAAAAAATACCATACACTTTGTTAGTTGACAATAAAAATTTGTAGAAGAGATATTAAAACCAATTAAAAAGGTTTAAAGTTTGGGTGACTAAAGGAATAAAGATAACATTAACAATTAATAAAAAATTTGAAAAGGGAGCTTAAAAAGCTGACTTCTTCAGATGTAGGCAAATAGGCAAGAGGCAGAAGAGAGTAATACCTCCTCCAAGTTAATATATGTTTTTTGTTTTTTGGTTTTTTTTGCGGTACGCAGGCCTCTCACTGTTGTGGCCTCTCCTGCTGCGGAGCACAGGCTCTGGACACGCAGGCTCAGCGGCCATGGCTCATGGGCCCAGCTGCTCCGCAGCATGTGGGATCCTCCTAGACCGGGGCACGAACCCGCGTCCCCTGCATTGGCGGGCAGACTCTCAACCACTGTGCCACCAGGGAAGCCAAATATATGTATTTTTAAAGAAATATTTTTGCCTATTTTAATTGGTTAAAAAATAAAGCTGATTCAATCCAAAATTTAACTAATTCATGGTTACTTTAAATATATCTATAGTGTTCTAGTTTTGAAATATGATTGAAACTTCAAAAATGCCAAGTATTAGGAGTAGTATGTTAGTCTCTAAGCCATAAAAATAATGCCTAGGAAAATTATTACATAAGAATCATTAATCTGAAATTTAGATTGTTTATAATTAAATATGTTCACTGTTTTCACCAAGTTTATTCTAAATGTCTTTTTAGCTCAATCAGTAAAACCAAGTGCAAGAAGAAAAAAAGGGATAGAACTGGGAGACATTCAAACTTCCATTGAATCTATAAAACAAACACAGGAAGAAATTAAAAGGTAATATATACGACAGTGACTATTCATTTGAGTCTAGAGGAGTTAAGAATCCTGTTATGTAGGAAATCATATGCAAACTTTACATTTTTATAACATTGCTAAGCTAAAATAGAACCTTGGCGTCTGTCACCTGATTACTGAAACTTAGGAAATTCCTTCAGCACTAAAATATTTGGGAGACATGGGGAGGTTGTTTTGTCTCATCTGTGAGACTGGAATTGGAGTCTCTTCATCTTACTGCTGTAGTATACCAGGAATGTAGCTAGGTTGAATGCGGAAGTGGGGTGGTTCCTGAGAAAGCCATTCTCCTTTGTACATGGCTGATTTTAATTCGAATGCACCAGTTGTTAAAATATTGAAACACTTCCATAACAGTGGGCAAATAGCCACTACCCTGAGACCTTCAAGTGTTCCCTGTGCACTCCCAGACCCATCCCCTCACTCACCTCTGCAAGATCCAGCAACTAACTGTCATAACACCTAGGGAAGTTCCTTGGGAGGGAAGGAGTCCTGATCCTGCTCCACTGGTAAGGCTAGCACGAGTTCAGATCGGTTGTCTCCCATTGCTATATCAGATGTTAAGTTTTTTTAATATTAGCCAACCTTCTTTTGTGTATTCAGCACTCAGCGCTAGATGTCCTGGAGGATTTTTTTTTTAAGACATTTTTTTCTGTTCTTGGTGATCTATAGCTTACATTTAATTGCTATTTTCATCTACAGCCCCATTTCCTACCATTCCTCTACACTTACCCATGCTCTAGTCCTATGAAACTCCTCACATCTCCAGAATATACTGTGCTCTCTTGTCTTTGGATCTTTACCCACACTGAATCTGCTTTTTAGATTGCCCTTCCTCCCACCTTGCCGCTCAAGAAAATCCCTGTTTATCCTTCAGAATATAACTCAAATGTCACCCTTTTTGTAACATTTCTAATCACTCTGCCCCGTAGTTATTAATCCTTCCATTTGGCTTGTATGGCTCCCTATACATAGTCTTTTTGAGTGCTTACTGCGCTACAGAGTTGCTAATTTTGTGTGTCTGTTTACCTCACTCCACCCTGCCCCAGTTGGACCATGGGCTTCTTTAGAGCAGGGAGTGTGTCTTCTGCATCTTGGTATCATCAGCCCTTATGTAAAGTGCTCGAGTTTCCTAACTTAATTATATTTATAAATTAACGAGCCTACTTATTCATATTTGCCTCCTTTCTTTCTCTATACTCATAAAACACTTCAGTAGAAGTCAAAAAGAAAAACGTCTTCACTAACAGCTCTTTTTAGCCAAAAGCGTTTAGAGTGGCATGAGGATCATGTAAGCTCATTTTATGACTAAATTAACATTTTTTTTGTTAGCATATGAAATGCCTACAGAGCATTCTTCAAGTTAGGAATGTCACAAAATTTGTTGTATTACTTTTTTCCTGGTGAATTAAGGATTTTTCTCCAACTCTGCCTTTGTCTCCTAAAGAAAGATAAAAGAACCTTAGTGGGCCAACTAAGAAGCAAAATTTTTGTTTTAAAACCACTGTGATAACAAAGAAAGTGATATATTTTAAAGTCATCAAACTTTAAAAATTATGTTTAACACACATCATTAAGTAATATATTTGGTACAGTGCAGAGTATAGATTAGGCAAGACCTAATAGTGGTTCCACAAAGCATAATCAGCTCCCTGTTCAGGTGGTAGTAATTGATTGAACTTTATACAGTTGAATTTTATACAATGAATTCTGTGATCGTATATCAAATTGTGATTTCTTTGCTAACATTTTTGGTAAATAATTATTAAATTTATTGTTGCTTATTTTTATAGAAATATTATGGCTCTTCGAAATCATTTAATTTCAAGCACACCTGCCACGGATTATTTTCTGCAACAAAAAGACTACTTCATCATTTTTCTCCTGATTTTGCTTCAAGTCATAATAAACTTCATGTTTAAGTAGAAGTTCTTTACCATTGAATCAGTGAACTGGAATGATCATATTTGGCCTGGGACCAATGTTGAAGTTGCTTTGGTCTTTATTGAAACATCACAATATTTCTAAAACAGAAATCCTTAGAAATATATGTAGAACTGTTGACTTTTCCTACCTTCTATCCTTAACCCTGAAATAAGAGCTATTCTCTTTGGTTATTAAAGTGAACTATGTGTTAAGTGCCAGAACAATTCTAGCTTTTGTGAGACTGTGTCTACATGTGAGTATAATAAATCCACATGTATACACAATTGTGTCTTATGTATACCTTACAGTAGTCTTTGTAGTCTATGGTATGTTCGTGTTATGAAATATATAGCATTAATGTCATTCATAACAAAAATGCTATCAATCTTATAAATATATGTGTAGCAATCTGTTTTCTTCATAAGACCGGCACAAAACTTCTATCAATAAGGAATTCCAGAATGGGAAATGATGGGATAATAGACATAAATAGTTCAATGCACTGTACTGTGAAAAAAATCATTTCTAAAGCATTCAGCTAAATTGTCTTAGAAACAGCAAAAAAAAAAAATTGTGGTCAAAACTGATTTGAGAGACAAGGTGGCAAACTGCTTTATCAAAAGTTTACACAAGATTTTTTTAACACCTAGAATTTAATATTTATAGATACAGGTCTAAATATATGTATGTGTATATCAACAAAATAAACCCTGGTACTCGGATCTACTGAGTATATATTTCCTATCATACCTGTATAACAACCCCTTAAGCACTTGCTGAAAAAAGTGTGGTCAAACTTGATTGCTGTCCTTCTTTCTTTTTTTTTTTTCTAAACTCAGTTGGTCCGATAACATAGGCCAAATTTTAGAGATGGAATTATAGGGTGTATGAAATGCTGATAGTCATGATTTTTCATTATGAAAAATTTATTTTAGCTTTCATTTAGATTCTAGTGTGTTCAGTGAAACAGTTGAATAGAAAATATATATATAACCAATATTTTACTTCAAAAGCCAAAAAGAGAAGGACAACGAGAAAAGACACTTCGTGTGGTGGTATTTATGTGTATGTTAAAATTGGTTCTTTAAAATGTGCAATAAGTTGAGCATCTAAGAAGAGCATCAAGTTCTCAAGTTTAATTCTCTGTTATCCTCCTCTGTTCTCAGTAACTGCAGTCTGTGGCAAAACCACAATTCCTCAAGATTCCTTTTGTTCAGGCTCAGGCAAACATTTTTCCTAAATATTTTTTTCAGTTTAATGTTTTTCCTTTATGCATCTTAGAATTCTGAAAGTAGATTTTGAAATGAAAATGAAGGTCAGAGAGAATAATTGCTCTGGCTACACTTGCCTTCGACTAAGAAGAGACTGTGAGACACTAGTAAAAATATAATCAAATGTTTATGCCATGATAAGTATAAAATCAAGGAATGATTGCTAAATTATGAAAATTGAAAATGATTAAAAGGGCCTGCTTTTTTCCACCTAACCAATATAGCTATCTTAAATATCCTTAGATTTTATGAAGAGCTATTTCCCATGTATTTTTGGCAAAACAGTGTATTCCATATGTATGTGTGAAAACATTTTTTAAATAGATTATGCGTAAATAACATATACCTACACCCAGTATAAGTATAGGTATAATATGACTACACTAGAATAGGTGGGTTTTTGTTTGTATTTCGTACTTGTTGATATAATTTTTATACTCACTTTCTGTTACCAATGTTACGCTCTACTGCCTATTCATTGATATATATTTTGTAAATACTGTACGACTTGATCCTTTTTTATGGTTTAAATTAGTATTAATTTATATAAGTTGATTGGCTGATCACAAAATAATTTCATTATTAAACCCTGAAAACATATTTTTTGTTGGCAACTCCCCTTTGGGACTTTAGTCATGTTACTTTCATTTGGTCTAAACAGTGTTTTATTTGTATGGTTATCTTCTAAGACTGGAAAGGTAGTTATTTACTTTTGTATATTTTCTTGTTAGGGCAAATGTGTTATGGGCTCTTATTACTCAAGGAGTCAAAAACTATTTCATGAGAAAGAGCAGGGTTACTCATGACTGTTTCTTATACACTAAAAGCATATATCTAATCTAATAGTCTTATGTTTTTATTTGTGTGAGTTCCTTTCTGTGAATTGAACACAAAACTCAGGAATAGGTGGCTTAGTTTTAGATCAGTGCTTATACTAGGCTTAGTATGTGAATACTTTAGAACACATAATTAACTTTGTATTTAGCCATATATGTAGTTGACTTTGAATGTTCTCCACCTGAGATTAATCTTCCTTCACAATGGATTCATAAAAATTGTGATTTACAGTTCCCAGTTGTCTGAGAGCCTCATGGTGGTTTTTAGGATTTAAGACCTATGACCAGTTTTTTTTTCATTTGATCAAAAATTTTATTTTTTCACTTGAAAATTTAAATGAGTAATAATTATTGATGTGTGCATTTGTGTTTTAGTTGTTTAATATACTATGCCTTCAGTTATCTACCATTTAGTGAGACGTAGCTGGCCCGGTTAAAGATAATAAATAGGGCATGTGAAATAAGTTTCAGCAATAGATGTTTTACTTATATTTCATGTCAGTACTTTTTTGTATTACTTATACAGTGTAATCTTTGTTACCATTCCATTGAAACAATTGGCCTTGTAAAATAAAACCCTCATTTAGTGTTCACGCTTTTGTGCCTTTAAGAAAATACTTTTTGTCATTTTTGTGTTACAGAACTATAATATGATTCAAAGTGTTTATAGTCTTAATTATCACACAAGGGTCATTTCTCTGTCACTTCACTTCCTTTTATATAGCTATAGCATATTTAAACAGTAATGCTGTACTTTTATAAGGGTTTTTGTCTATTTACCTATCTCAAATATATCCTTCACTTTCAGACATCATTGAAGTAGACCTGTCAGATTATTCTGCATATTGTAAACAGTGCCTTTTTGATGGAATTCACACTGTTTTAGGGTGTCAACTCGTGCCATATACACACAAAATTATGTAGAGAAGGCAGTTTTAACTTTCTGAAGAATATCTTAGTCAAATATTTAAGGAAAAAAATGTATAAAATTCCATTTTTTCCAGTGTTTAGCATTTCTAGTGAGCAATGAATATATTTGGGGTTTTTTTTGTTTGACATACAGTGATAATGAGCCATACATGATGCTGCAGATTATTTTGAATTATGTTAAATGTATGGAAATAAAATATTAAAATTAGCATTTATACCAAATTTTCCAAATTGAACCATAGTGGGGTCAGGGGGGAACCCCACACAAATCACCAAGTTTACATTTCAACCTCTATCTTATTTGACTACATGGAAAAAGAGATTCTTGGGCTTCCCTGCTGGCGCAGTGGTTAAGAATCTGCCTGCCAATGCAGGGACACGGGTTCAAGCCCTGGTCCGGGAAGATCCCACATGCCACAGAGCAACTAAGCCTGCGCGCCTAGAGCCCATGCTCTGTCTGCAACAAGAGAAGCCACCGCAATGAGAAGCCCGTGCACCGCAACGAAGAGTAGCCCCCCCGCTCGCTGCAACTAGAGAAAGCCTGCGCACAGCAACAAAGACCCAACGCAGCCAAAAATAAATATATGGAAAAAAAAAGAAAAAGATTCTTTAAAATGTATATAACCTGCCACTATTATGTAATTTGCTTTCATTCTGTTTACTTGTAGTATGAATTTAGTATATTTAATTGGCTTTTTGTTACCCTTAACATACTATTTGTTTCATTACAGTTTTTAATTGAAGATGGACTGTTAAAATTGTATAGGACCAGTGTCTCCTTAATATGATTAACATATTTAGAAGAACCACAAGAAGTCCGTGACAAAATGAATGTGAATATACTTTCTAAAATATTTAGAAAATTTTATCTTTCTGCATTTATTATGTAAAATTATTTTAGTATTACAATATTGAAATTTATTTAAAGAAAAAATGCCATGAAATATTTGAACTGATGAGCCACAGAACTTCAGTTGAAAATTTTCACTTTTTAGCATGCTAACTATTCATTTAAGTTAAATATCCTGTTTAATGGCCATTTATAAATTCAAATACTACCACTGGTCAGTTTTGTAAAATAGAATAAAAGGATGTTATCTGCAGTGTAAGTACAGCACACTGTCAAATTCTTTTCCTTACAGTGCATAGTAAATGTACAGATAGTCATAGGCAACTGTTTTGTAATGTATTACATTTCTAATCTGTTATTCCTAACCTATTATAAAAGTTTGCAGAGACAAAAGATTTGAGTTTTTCTAATCTGTAAAATGATGCTAACTTCGACAAGTAGGCATTCTAAATAAAATTTTTAAAAAGAGCAAACTGATCAAACGACTGAATATAACATATGGTGACTAGATTATTTAGTCTTAATTTTTTAATTAAAAATAATTTTATTTGGGGGGGTAGTTGTGAAGGATGGTGAAGGGCTTGGAAGGGATTTAACAGCTAGAATCCTTAATGTATGCTTTACGTGATGCTTCATATTCATTCTTCTTGAATACTCATAATAACCTTCAGATGAGTGGAAGTTACATTTTATAGATGAAGATTCTGAGGCTCAGAAAAGTTAAATGATTCTAAAAGCTACATAGTAAGAGCGACAGCGAAGCTTGAACCCATGTCTGACTTCAATGTCCATTATCTTTCCACTGTACACTTAAATAGAACTCTGACTTTACTTCTAAATGTGTGTAATAATCCACTGCTCGAATCGAGTAACCCCTTTGTGATGGGTAAGAACGAAAGAACCTTGGGAATTCCCTGGTGTCCAGTGGTTAGGACTTGGTGCTTTCACTGCTGGGTCCCAGGTTCAATCCCTGGTTGGGGAACTAAGATCCCACAAGCCGCGTGGTGCTGCCTACAAAAAGAAAAAGAAACTTGCCATTACACAAGCATATACACAAAACCCACATGAAAAAGTTTTTCCCCCCACAAATCACCTATTAGTCCATACTGAGTCAAAATCACATACGTTCCAAGAAATCATTCCTCTTTAGTTTTCCTCTTTTCCTCCATCATCCTCCCCTCCCATATTTGCACCCCTCAGGATCCAGTTCCTTCTGGTTAATAGTGAGTTGGTTCTGCCTTACTGGGGGGAAGGGGAGGGCTGACAGGCTTCTGTCCTGTGCATAGGAATAAGGGGTAGGGAAAACAGGCCCTCACTGTTCAACTTCAATGAAACATCTACAAGGTAAATAATTTTCTTACTAATGTTGACCATACTCTGATAGGTGTCCTGTATTGTGTTATGATAATCAAGTCTTCTGCACCTTACAAAATATCCCTTTCTTGTGGAGATAGCGGGCCCCTAGAGTGGTGACACATCACAGTAATTTGTTGAGTATGTTGTACTTGTTGAGTGCTTAGTACCTACGAGGCAACATGCAAAAACAAAAAAACCGCCTTGTAAACATTCTCACCCTCCTTAAAACCTTGATTTTTTTTTACTTATCTATTATCACCATTTTTTTTTAAGATGAGAAAAGCGGAGACAAAAGAATGTCACAGAAAAGTACATGGCACAGCAAACCCAGGTCTAAATATTAAGCCTATGCTCTTAGTCATTTCATCCTTAAGAGAGAGGGTATGTGTGTGTCAGTATACGAAACAGTAAGTATGTTGTTTCTGCTTAACAGTATGTTTTTTTCTGCTGTCGGATTGTGTCCAATAATCTTGGGTCACTGTGTTTTTAAAACATCCTATTGATTACCAATGTGCTAAGTGTTACATCTGTCACCTCTGCTAAAGAAAAATTAAACTGTGGTGGGTTTCATAGTGATACCTAAGCCCAGGAAATGTGGCAAAGCCCCCAGCAGAAAGCACGAAGCCTGCAGCTCGTGACCGTGGCCAGGGCCTCCTCATCTGTCCTGCAACCCGAAAGAGAACCGCTGATGCAGAGTGTGGACAGGGTATGCACGAGTCCAAGGCAGAAGTTTCTGTTACGAAAACTTTACTTTTGAGGGAGGTCGGGAACGAACCGAGCTCTAGCCGCGGTGCCCAGTCCCTCCGCTCTCGTGCCGAGTTCCTGGGAGACGGAGGGATCTGGTGGCAGCTGAAGCCTCCAAGAGAGAGGAATGAATTCACCTAGGAGGGGGAGAAGGGCTTGCGGTTTCCTGTCCGGGGACAGCTCCCGAGAAGCCCCAACCTCTTTCCCACCTTCGCGGGTTTTTGAACCTCTAACTCCTACTGGCAGAATAGCGGGACTCTCCCGCTGAGCGGGCGGGAAGGCAGACCCTCGCCCAACCAAGAAACCGAGCAACACCGTCTTCCGGCCTCCTCCCCGCCTCTTCCGCTTCCGCCTGCGCCCCGCTCCTGGTCGTCCTGGGCTTCTACAGGCGGCGACCCGAAGCCGTCGGAAGCTGAAGGGCTATGGCAGCTGCGGGATCTGTGAGGGCGGCGTTGCAGGTGGCGGAAGTGCTAGAAGCCGTCGTGAGCTGCTGCTTGGGGCCCGAAGGGCGGCAAGTTCTGTGTACCAAGCCCACTGGCGAGGTGCTGCTCAGCCGGGATGGCGGCCGCCTCCTGAAGGCGCTACACTTAGAGCATCCCATAGCCAGGTACTTGCGTGTCACGCTCCAGACCGTTAGAGCATCCTATAACCAGGTACTCAGGTCCCGCACTCCAACCCTCAGGCCATCTCCCTGAACTTCTTGTCCTTGAGGTTATGCTCCTGGAAGAACTGACCTTGGACGAGACCAGAGTACGCTCAGAGTTAGAGCGCTGCCCGCTGCCCGAGGGAACATTCCCAGACATCGGATCATTAACAAGTGCCGAGAGCTTGTCTCACTCCTTTCCTTCCTGCTCGACCCAACCCCTAGAATCTTGAAGTAGAACAAAGTAACTTAAAAAAGGAAAAAACTAAAACTAAGGATATCACAGAGACAGTATTCTCGTTTTATATCTGTAGCTGTAAAAACATGGTTTCAACTTGATTTAGGCAGCCCTCTGAGAATCTGAGTTGCTTTATTTTTTTCTTGTACAGGATGATGGTGGCATGTGTTTCCAGTCATCTAAGAAAAACAGGAGATGGTGCTAAAACATTTATTATCTTTCTTTGCCATTTACTCAGAGAACTTCATGCAATCACAGACAAGGAAAAGGATTCTTTCTTTTCTGAAAATATTCAAACCCATGAAAGGCACTGGAAAAAGTGTTGTCAGTGGAAGTTTATTTCCCAAGCTCTTCTAACATTTCAGACACAAATATTAGACTACGTTATGGACCATTACTTAAGTAGACACTTTTTGTCCATCTTTTCTTCATCCACCAAAGAGAGACCATTGTGTAGGAGCTCTTTAGAGATGCTCTTAGGAGCATACTTTTGTGGAAGAGTGGGAAGAAATAATCACAACTTTGTATCACAGTTGATGTGTGACTACTTTTTCAAGTGTACAGCTTGTGAAAGTGGGTTTGAAGAAGTACTTGAGTTAGTGGATGACTGTTTTGTCGAGTTGAAAGTTGGTGTCACTGGCCTTCCTGTTTCCGATTCCAGGATCATAGCTGGGCTTGTGCTTCCCAGAGACTTTTCTGTGTACTGTCCAGCAGACGGTGACATAAGAATAGTGATAGTAATAGAAACCATTCAGCCTCTTTTTTCAACTTTTGGATCAGAGTTTATTCTGAATTCAGAAGCACAGTTTCAGACATCTCAATTTTGGATTGCAGAAAGGACAAAAGCAATAATGAAATATTTACAGAAGCAGAATGTAAAATTGCTCCTATCTACTGTGAAACAACCAGACTTAGTAATTTATTGTGCAGGACTGAATGGCATATCCGTGGTGGAGTGTTTATCATCTGAAGAACTTTCTCTTATCCAGAGAGTCACTGGTCTCACTCCCTTTGTACTACCACAGGCCTCTTCTCAGTATGAACTCTCTAACACTGCTATGGTGAAATTTTGTAAGCCCTTTATTCTTAGATCCAAAAGGTATGTACATCTTGGCTTGATTAGCACATGTTCGTTTACACCACACTGTATAGTTCTTTGTGGTCCAGTGCAGGGTCTTGTTGATCAACATGAGGATGCTTTACATGGGGCATTTAAAATGCTCCGGCAATTATTTAAAGACCTTGATCTAAATTATGTGACACAAGCCAGTGACCAAAATTGTACTTCAAGTCCTCTTATTTATAAGAATAGTAGAGAAAGTAATGACTTACCAGAAATTGTTAATGGCTCAATACAAAGGCCATATCAGTACACAGTTGTAAAGAACAAAGATGAACTGGCAAAAACTCAAGCATATTTAAAAGCATATTCAAATTTGGTAGTTCCAAGTGTAGAATTAGAAACAAATATATTGTGTTCAACACCAACAGTGACACTAACAGATACATACCACACAGATGCAACACTGAGATGTTTCTCTCCAGACAAAGCCAGGATAATGGATGACCATGAACCATTTATTGAGAGTAATTCTGCTAACTCAACAACAGAAAATACTAGAAGAGAAATTTCTTATGAAAATTTACAGGTCACAAAAAATGCTAGAAAGGGGAGCATATTACCAGTGAGATATAAGTCACTAGAGATGTGTACTTCCCAGAGTTACTGTTTCTCATCTGTACCAGCTGGTTGTGTTTTGCCAGTGGGTGGTAATTTTGAGATCTTGTTGCATTACTATCTTCTCAGCTATGCCAAAAAATGCCAGCAATCAGAAGAAACCATGGTTAGTATGATAATTGCTAATGCACTTTTAGGCGTTCCCAAAGTCTTGTATAAGTCTAAGAAAGGAAATTACAGCTTTCCACAAATATGTATAAGAGCTCTCCAGTCACTGCAAACCAATCAACCCATGATAAGCAACCAGAAAGGTTTGGAATCAGTTGCTGGTAAATACCAGTTACTAACTTCAGTTCTTCAGTGTTTGAGAAACATTTTAACCATTGACTTGGTAATCAATATTAAGAGACAACCTCAGGAAATTTATGATCAAGATTCGGAAGAGGAACTATAAAATTGGAAGCTTTTTATTAACCAAAGTTTTAATCCAACTCAAGCCATAAAGCAAGGCAGGCATGTGACCTCTGATTTTCAAGTTAATTCAGTCTAGTTAGGAAAACAGCATAACTTAAAAAGTCTTTAGAAGTACACAAGGCCAGCACACATTCAGACACAAATATTAGAGACTACATTATGGCACAGTTCTGAGGAGGAATCCTTCTGGATGGGTGAAGCCAAGATCTGAGTAAGTGTATCTTTTTTCCCCCTCAGTATCCCTGTGTCTCTGCATTTGGGGGAAGGTATTTCCTTATAGCTCCTTTTTACTTTTCTGTATCTTTTTTCACTCTTCATCCCTTCTCCCTTGCCTTTCTGTATCTAGTTAATAGAGTAATTTAATCTCAGATATGGATGTGGTCTTGAAATGCCATCCTGCTTTAACTGTTTATAATATAAAACATTATTTGCTTTATTTAAAATGATTTATTTTCCCTACTCATAATTTCTATAGCAGTGAGTAAAAGGCTCATTTTCTTTTTCTCAAACAGTGTGAGTAAAATTAGTTTTTACTTTTTTGTGTCCCCTTGTTTAGAGCCTGGCTAGATTTTTTTCCCCATTCATACACCAATGAGTATGTCACCATAAATATGGCTTTGTGCATTGTAAACTTATTTTCATTTCTTTAGTTGAAAGTTAATTCCAGAAAGGATATGAAATTCATACTATCATTTTTCTCCTGTCCTCTAAGAGCTTGCAAAACTAATTCATGTATTTGCTGAGTTTTCTTGTATTTGGTGCATAGCCAGAGTTCAGTAGTAATGCAAGAGGGAGGGGATATGGGGATATACATAGGCATATAGCTGATTCACTTTGTTATACAGCAGAAACTAACACAACACTGTAAAGCAGTTATATTCCAATAAAGATGTTAAAAATAATAATAATAATTTGAGAATTACAGTTGGCTCTCCAATCCTTGGGTTCTCCATCTGTGGATTCAACCAATTGTGGATTGAATATATTCAGGAAAAAAAATTCCAGAAAGTTCCAAAAAGCAAAACTTTAATTTGCCAGGTGCACTGGCAACTATTTATATAGCATTTACATTGTATTAGGTATTATAAGTAATCTAGAGATGATTTAAAGTACACAAGACAATGTGCACAGGTTACATGCAAACACTGTGCCATTTTATATAAGGGACTTGAGCACCCACAGATTTTGGTATCCTCAGGAGTGGGGGAATGTTCTGGAACCAATCCCCCTTGGATCCCGAGAGACCACTGTATTTATTTCTAATATGAATTTTTTAATGTTTATATTTTATCTTAAAGGTTTATAAATGCAAATAATACTGTGCACTTAGCTGTGAATAAGGACAGTGTCTTCTACTTTTAGTAGTTCTCTGTAACACCCCAGGCAGTGCTGTGTTCATACCAAGTATTCGGAAGTGCTTGTTGAATAAAACTGTTATCTTTAATCTGATCTAATTATGTGTTTCCAGTTTACTAATTCAGCAGATTCTTATTGAGTGCCTACTATGTGCCAGATGCTGAATATACCATGGTAAACAAATAGATATGGTTCCTACCTTCATGCACCTTTCCTCAAAGGTTAATGGGTAGTAGATAGTGACAACACTTGGATTAAGATTAAATTTAGGAAAACTGATTAAAATTCCATTACAGTTAAACTTGAAAAAGCGATGACTAATAATGTGTTTAAGAACTGTAATAGTCCATCATGCAGATCTCATGATCTTTTATATTAAATATAATTTCATTTTTGTAAGGTTTATGCCATATGTGATAACATTATTTCACTTCTGTGACTATGGAGAGCATGTATTAACTCTATTTCTCATAGATATATAAACGTACTGTAAAATTGTTGTATAATTTTTTCCATTCACTTTTTTAAATTGCCTGTCAGGTCACTTGATAGCTTTGCTTTACTTTGTTGTTGTTGTTTTAAATACTTCATCATTGAAGGCATTCAGAGACTTTTCCATGTATGCCTGTGCCTTGCATGTGGTAGACATTTTATAACTGTAAATAATCACTAGCCCAGGAGCCACTTTGTAATCTGGGAGTGGGTCTTTTTGTGTTTGGCACCTCATCTAATATCTGGCACACGGTAGTAGCCAATAAATGTCTGTTGAGAAACTCTGGTCCTCATGGATGAGCTCCTAATTATTTCTATCAAACTTTCATGGAAAAGGATCTGTTTGCGGGGGAAAGAAGCAAAAAATGTAGAACAAATCTGCACAAAGCAATCGTTTTTCTTTTAATTAAAAAAGTCCTCAAAAATGGTGATAAAGCTTTCATGGGTCATCCTTGTCATTTACAGAATAACACTAGGGAGTTTATATTACTGGGTTAGATAAAAAAGCACTTCAAAAATGTAATTACGTTGTACTTAAACCCACTTACACAAAGGATTTGAGGTGACCTGCAACAAAAAATAGATGAAATTAAAGTAAAATCTAAATAAAAATTAAAGAATCAAAGGCAAAGAAAATGTAAAAATGATTAAAAGTCAAGACCATGTTCCTGTTTTTATTCTGCATAATGAATAACCTCAAAATTTACTTGATTGGAATCACTGTATTATTACCTCTCATGGTTCTGGGAGTTGCCTGGATTTAGCTGAACAACCTTTCCTGTATCCTGTTGGGTGAGGCAGTCATGCAGGTCAGCTGAAGTTCAAGGGGAGGGAACACAGGTCCCACCACTCAATGGAAAGTGTCAATGACACATTATAAGAAGAGCATGTGGGATGAGATATATATTGAGACAGCTATCTTTGGAAAACAATCTGCAGCACCATGGGAGAGAAAAGAGGACAACTTCTCAGCTGAGGTTTTTATTATTATTTTCTGAAGTTACACATCAGTCCACCTCCCACAAACACGTTTTCCCCAATAACTTTTATGAACTCATTTTTTTCTCACTGGGCCAGCACAAGCCATTCTTATTCCCAAAAGAATAGGCATTAAGTAGTTGAATTATCTCTGAACTGCTTTAGCCAGGGAGCTGTTTAACCATGTTACACTGGAAATGTTAGGGTATGCATGTTTTAGACTAAAAGGGACGGGGAAGAGGAATGCAATTTGAGCCTGAACTCTTTTTTTTTTAATAAATTTACTTATTTATTTATTTTTGGCTGCATTGGGTCTTTGTTGCTGTGCGCGGGCTTTCTCTAGTTGCGGTGAGCAGGGGCTACTCTTCGTTGCGGTGCATGGACTTCTCATTGCGGTGGCTTCTCTTGTGGAGCATGGGCTCTAGGCGCGCGGGCTTCAGTAGTGGTGACATGCAGGCTCAGTAGTTGTGGCTCGCAGGCTCTAGAGTGCAGGCTCAGTAGTTGTGGCACACGGGCTTAGTTGCTCTGCCCGTGGGATGCATGTGGGATCTTCCCAGACCAGGACTCGAACCCGTGTCTCCTGCATTGGCAGGCGATTCTTAACCACTGTGCCATCAGGGAAGTCCCGAGCCTGAACTTTTATCAGAAATTACTCATCTCCTCCCAAAAGGAATAGAATATGTTTTTCTTATCACAGCACAGCAGAGAAAACAAAAACTACAGTTGGAGGGGGATATATATATATATATATATATATATATATATATATATATCCCCCTCCAACTGTAGTTTTTGTTTTCTCTGCTGTGCTGTGATAAGAAAAACATACCCCCTCCAACTGTAGTTGGAAAAAGTATATATATATACTTTGCAGTTCTGTAAACAGCAAGAGATTGGTAACAACCTAAACTCTAGATGGATCCACAAACTAAATGGGATAGGGGCAGTGACTGGGGGTGGGGGTGGGGAACATGCATAGGGAAGAGGTGAAAAGGTGATTTCTCAGTGTATACCTTATGGCATTTTGATTTTTGAACCACTTGAATACTACTTATTCAAATGAGATAAAATTTTAAAAGATAGATTTAGAGCAAACACATAGAATACACCCCAAATAGTAATAAAGTAATAAGGATCCTGGCCTAAGGAAACACAAGATCAGAATGGAAGAAAAATGATGTGAGATACACAGTGATGGATCAGTACTTTTACAGTGGAAGAAAGGATACAGTCAAAAGAGGGAATATTCTCTTAACTATAATTGGCAGGGGTTTTCTCAACAATTCTGGAAACGTTCTCCCTTAGCAGGCTACTATGAGCCAAGGAAGTGCCAGCAACCAGTGTGGCGTTCATTTCCTCATGGAATTTTCAGTCCTGGGTCTGGCTTCCTCTTATGCAGCCTCACCACCAGATTTTGTCAGCACGTTGAGAATGGCTCTGTCTCAGGGTCTGAGTCAAACCAAACTTGTGAGCGTGATCAATTTATTTACAGTAAGAACTGTTCCAGGAACTAGAACATTCCAAGTCCATCTGACCAGTCTTTCCTTTATGTATGGACCTGTTTTATTACTTCCTGTGGGAAGTAATAATCAGGTGGTTGCTCAGTAAGCATGGAATCAGAGCAAGAGAAATCAAATTAACTCCTCCCAGCCAGTTATGCTCCAGTTCCCCAGTGCTCGGTCCTGGCCTTCCACACCTACACTTGCTTCCTGTGGGATTCTATCCAGGTCTATAACGGGTGCCACTACATGCTGATGATTCCAAATTTTGTATTTCCAGCCAACCTCTTCTCTCTACTCCCAACTCAAGTATCCAACTGCCAACCCAGTCTCCATGTGGATGCTTACCCTTAACATGTCCAAAACAGGATCTCTATTTCCCATCCCCTAAACCTGGCCTTTCCCCTGCTGTCCCATCTTAGTTAATGGTATCACCAGTCTCCCACTCATTCAAAACAAAAACCTGAGAGACATCTTGCCTCCAGTCTTTCCTTCGCATCCCACAGCCAATCAGCAAATCCTGCTGGCCCCACAAATAAAGTGGATTTCAAATCCACCCATTGCTCACAGTTGCCTTTGCAGCCCAAGTCACTTCATCTCTTACCTGCAGCAGCCTCCTAATGGTCTTCTTCGCCTCTCTCTCACCTTGTACTTT